GTCGTGGAGGCTCGCTACTCCTCTAAGCAGTGAGCCCTGATCTTGTGGCCTCCGAGGTGGGATCAAACCCAGGAAGCTTCAGGGCCCGGCACTTCCCTTTGGAGGCTCAAAGCCACAAGACGGCCAATGCCATGGGCTGCCTTTCCTTGCTGCTCGCCTTCCCACCCCAGCCCTCTTGGTCATGGATGGTGGTCTCACCCCAAGACCACAGTTAACCCCTTGAGGGCCCCACAGTGCCTGCGTGACTTGCAGAGGACCTGGTAGACTCGTGCAAGCAGAGGTGCTCCACCCTTCCGCAGGCTGCACTCTGCTGCCTACAAGGCATTCTCAGTCCCTCTTCCCTGGGATCTGATCCAGAGGTAGATGGACAGCAGGTGGACGCTGAGCCCAGTCCAGCACACAGACTCTCCGCTGTGAGTCCACGATGCACTGGGTAGGCCCGGAGCAGCCCCACCCAGAGCCCTGCAGCCGGCTCCCATGTAAGACCTGCATTTGTAGAAGAGAGGAGAGACTGCGAGAAGATTGAGTGAGGCATTTGGACACAGCCTGTCCCGTGTGGGGACCAGGCCAGCCGTCCAGAGACAGCGTCTCAGGAGGGCCTGACACCGTCCACATCCGTGCGAAGGGCCGGAGGGCTCCGTGGGGTGCATTTCATTCCTCCCTCTCCCCTTCTTTCCCTCTATCATGTCTTACTTTCTCTTTTCTAGAGGAGCAGTTGGTTTCAGCTAGTCCTTGAACAAAATTAAGCACTTTGGATGATAAACTTCCATCATTCAATAAATAATACCTGAAGGCCATAGAGAAAACATCCCGTCTCCTTTGACAGAAAATATTCTCCACGGGCTGATTTCCTGCATTTGCACACGGGGGTGGAGGCTATACTAGGACTCTCAGCACTGCCCAGCTTCCAGCCTGGAAGTGCGTCTCTGAAGGCTAACCCAGACATTCTGTAATGGAGCCAGACTCGGGGTCCGAACCGTGTGCCGTGTGCTCGGCGGTAGCTCTGCACCTTCACTCAACACCAGGCCGAGCACCCCACAATCCGGGAGGTCCAGGGAAACGGCAGCATCGGGGCTACGTGAGCTCTGCACAGCCCGGGTTCCCAGTCTCACAGTCAGGAATCCACGCTTGTCCACGGGGCTCTGCTGGAGCCATAGTCACGGCATGGAGGTTCCGATGCGGGGGGGGTGGCTGTGCTGGCGGAGATGGCAACCCTGGGACCCTGCTTGTCAAGCGGCAGAGACGGGGGAGGGTGTCCCCAGGGAGGCCTCCTCGTGCGAGGAGGGATGTCTGTGGGGCTCAGCGGAAGGGCGCAGAGCCGGCATGCTGGTGAGTCATGGCACGGTGCCTGTGAGAGGAGAGGCCGTAGCGTCTCGGTGCGGGTCTCTGCTGTTAGGAGCGCGGGCAGCTTGCTGCAGGGCACAGCGTGGTGTGCTGCTCCGTGACGCTGGAGCCTCGTGGGGTTCGGCGTGGTCCCACGTCCACTTGTACACGCTGGTGCACACGACCGTGGCCCCAGCTGGCTGTGGGGGCCGGGGGGCATGACCATGCTGCAGTCCCTCCTCCATTGATTGTCAGGGTCTGGGGCTCACGTGCATACGCACATGGCGTGCTTTCTAAACCTCCGAGGCTGGGATTTGAACCACCACCAGCCACTAGGAATTCAGCTCCCTTGACCGCTAGGCCACAGGGCTGGCCCAGGCGCTGCTTTCTGAAATTACCAGAAACACCAGTGCAGGGAGGATGCTGAGCAGAAGTTCTGGAAAGAAGACTTAGGGGCCGCGGTACAGGCGACGTCCGTAGCCCTGGTCGCCATCTCAGCCCTCAGCCCGGCCAGGCCTCCCGGCCACAGGAAGCTGGGCGGTACCAGGAGTGGCGGGAGGCGGGGATACAGCCTCTGCGTGGCCGTGGGGCCTGTGGTGGCTCGGCTGTGCTGGGAACCGACATGACACTTGGAGTTAAATGTGGCAGTGTCACGTGACCCAGCCGTGTCACGTGCTGAGGAAATACTGGGGAAGCCACACATGTGGTGGCAGTGCTCCGAATAGCCAGAAAGGGCAGCCCGGGCCCACCGGAGGGTAACGGGTGAAGGGAGGTGGTCGCATGCCCGCTGGGAGGTCCCTCAGCCCTGGAAAGGAAGCTCAGGGGCCACAGGGTGGCGCTGCAGTGGGACCCAAAGCCCTGGGCACGGGCAGGCCACGGGTGGAGACCCGTGGGTGTTTTTACTCTGTCTCCGGCTTTCTTGCTCCTGGGAGAAAGGACTTGAAAGTCGAATTCCGGCCACACGGAACCCCCCGAGAGCATGCCCGGTGCGGTGAGCCCAACCTGAGGCAGGCGCCCCACCCAGCGTGGGAGCAGACAGGAGCAGGGGCAGGGGAGCGGGGTGCACGCAGGCTCTTCAGGGAAATCGGAGCTGATGTCTGCACGCCGAGCAGGGGGCTGAATGGCACATGAGTGACAGCTCGGTGACATGTTCCAGGACCCCAGGAGGAGCGAGCTGGAGTCCAGACCTGGTGGGCTGTGCGGTGAGGATAAGGGCCCGTGGTGAGGCCACGGCCGACCTCGCTGTGTTCCTCTGCCTCCTCCAGGGCGACGACAGCCTCTCCCAGGACACCCTGGCCGGTGTGGCCCTCGCCGCAGCGCTGACCTACCCTCCTGGGCCCTGGGCCACGTACCCTGAAGACCTCCCGCTGCGGCCCCGCAGCCGGCTCCAGCCGGATGAGCTCAGCCCGAAGGTGGACGGCGCCCTGGACCGACGGCATCCGATGGCGGCTCTCGGCACCTATGCTGCTCAGCGGCCCCTCATGGCTCCCAGGGAGGGCGACCCAGGGCCGCGGGACCTTCTACACCTGCCCCCCAGAGCACCACCGCCTCTCTGGGCACTGGCAGGACCCCAGAAGTGGCCTCTACCTCCCGGAGAGTCCAGAGGTGCCCCCAGCATGGGCGACGGTGAGTGAGCCTCCCCCGGGGTTCTTCCTGGCTTCCGCACACCCCTTTCCTGAGCTCCGTCCGCACCTCCCCAGGGTGGCCGGGTGGACCTGGTGTGCACGGCCCTCACACCCCTCCGCGCTGGCAGAAGGGTAACATCCACACCTCCCTCCTAGGGTGGCCAGGCGCACGCGGCGTGCCCCGCCAGGGCCTTGGCCCTCACACCACCTCTGCGCTGGCAGAAGGGGGTGGCTGTCTGGCCACTTGGGAGCAGCACGGGTGGGCCGAGGGGCGGGGCCGCCCGAGTGCTGCACCGTCACCGTCCCGTTTCCTCAGCCCTCCCCACGTGCGCAGCTGTGTGGCCTTACTGACGAAGGTGCCAGGTGCCGACAGGGCAGGGCGGGGCGTGGCCCTGGCACAGTTCTGCCGTCGGTGTCACCCACACAGTTTCCTGGAACTCTGGTCGTGAACGCTTGGGCCAGGCGTGGGCTTTCACCGGCCACGGTCACGTGCCTCACCCTCCCGCTGGTCCCCTGCTGATGGCCTGTGCGCTGTCCTCCGCAGTCCCCAGTCCGAAGCTGCATGAGTGTGCAGGGTCCCCTCGAAGCCACCGGCTGTCTGGCAGGCTCCAGCACTGCTTCACACGACTCTCCCTCACGGTCGCCCGCGGCTTGAGGGTGTTTCCTGGCCCCTGCCCCACGATGCAGCAAGCTCTTCAGTTCCACGCCTTTCCCTGAGACCGCCCATGGTGGGGCCAGCTCGAATGGGGCTGCCCTTTGCTGACACCACCTGTTCAAACAGTCTGCCAGCTTTTAAAAACAGCCTCAGTTGGGGCCAGCAGGTGACATGGAGGTTAAGGTGTGGGTCCCACGTGGCCGACTGCGTGTTTCAAATCCCAGACTCAGTGGCTTGAAACATATGCTGGGGGGAACCAGCAGTTAGCGTAATGGCTATGTTGCTGGACTCCCACGTAGTCGACCGCGGTTCACGTCCCGGACCCGGTGGCTTAAAACTCACGCCGGGCGCGTGTGCGTGCGTGCCCAAGATCCCGAGAGGAGAATGGAGGAGAAGGGATTGCGGCGTGACCATCCCCCCTGGGGGGTGATTTCTCGCTTTCTGTCTCTCTGTCTCTCTCTGTCTGTCTGGTGAGCGCACGCACCCTACAGTGAAAATCTCTCAAAAAAAAAAAAAAAGAAACACATGCTGGGTGCTTGTGCATACATGCCCCAAATCCTGAGAGAATGAAAGAGAGTGAATCACAGCATGGCCATGCCCCCAAGGGGTGACTTCTCACTTTGTCTAGCAAATGCATGTGCCCCATAGCAGAAACTTGAAAAAAAGGCTCGATGGGACCAGCAGTTAGCGTAATGGCTGTATCGCTGGACTCCCATGTAGTCGACCACGGTTCGAGTCCCGAACCCGGTGGCTTAAACTCACGCTGGGCACATGTGTGTGTGTGTGTGTGTGTGCGTGCCCAAGATCCCGAGAGGAGAATGGAGGAAAAGGGATTGCGGTGTGGCCATCCCCCTGGGGGTGATTTCTCGCTCTCTGTCTCTCTCCGTATTTCTGGCAAGCGCACGCGCCCTATAGCAAAAACCTCTTCAAAAAAAGAAACGAAAAAAGGCCTGAGAGTCGCTCCGACTCAGTATTCGGCTGTCTAAGTGGCGAACAGACCGTGGTGGCTTTGTGTGGCCTCTGCTCATCACTGCCTCCCACCTGAGCACCCCCTCTCGCCAGGCGGCGTGGCACTTTCCCACGGGAGGCGTGAGACACGAGGGTCGTTGCGGGGAAGGGAGCGTGGCTGTGCGGGAGGCTGTGCTGTTGTCTTGTCTTGGGTAAATGGTGGGCGTTGAGGGAAGGGAGTGCCGGCTGAGACTGTGCATGACATTAGTGAGGTTGGCGCCTGCCTGGAGGCAGCGGCCGGGATCTCAGCCTCCCTCCACGTCCCTCACGGGCTGCCCCAGGCTCTGTCCCTGGCTGCGCAGCCCTGGGCACACTGAGCCACTGGTCCGTGCACTCAGGAGGCACTTCCTAGGCAGCTGCCCGTGAGGCTCGCTGACTCTCTCACCTCCTCCAGGGCGAGAGGTGAGATGAGTGTGTTCAGTCCTCCCTGAATGCCCGGTGGCCCTGCAGCCCGCGCTTGCCGCGTGGTGTCTTCTGTCCTGTGCTGGCGGGATCGGTCTGCAAGCTCCCCCGGGCAGGGAGTACGGACCAAGGCTTTTGCTTTTCGTGGTGAGAATGAGGATGATGGTGTAGAAAACCCAGACTTAAGTGTGCCATCACCTGGAGAAGGTCATTGTCACAGGAAGGGTGGCACCTGCTGCCTCGCTCACTGTTGGAGAGACCATGGAGATCCGGGTAGGCCGAGGACGCACCGGCCCCACCCCAGGCTGCACCCGCGGGCTTCCAGAACCACCGGCACCAGGCAGGGAGGGCCCTGACTCGCTGGAGCACAGCCGCCTGGGAGTCTCATTTGTGGGGAAACTATTGACACGTGCCCCGGACCCGCGCCCTCCCTGGAGCCAAGAGCACCTGAGCTGAGGAGGGGGAGGGCGCCCATGAAGGTCCCACGCCAAGTGCGGCCTGACTGAGGCCCAGAGTTGGCCATCACCAGTGGGGGCCGCGTGCACCCACTTCTTCCACAGGGGAAGGGCAGGACGGGCCGGGGCGGCAGTGTTGGCCTGTGGCTCAGACACTGGGAGAGCTCCGGACGGCCTAGCCCCGACATGGAACCCGGGAGGGTGCCCAGATGTGGGGTGGCGGCAGCTGTGTGTGCTGGGGACCCTGGCTGCTCTGCCTTGCCGCTGTCACGCCCCTCAAGAGCTGAGGCAGCTCCCCCCACTTCTGCGCCAGCGAGAGGTGGTGTTTCAGATTCAAAGTGTGACCTCGGCCCAGCCCTGAGAAACCTCCACAGCATCTGCTGAACGGCCACTCAGCTCTACCTGAACCGTGAGCCGTGGCCCGTCCCAGGACCGTGAGCTCACCCCTCCCCGTGGCCCGTCCCAGGACTGTGATCTCACCCCTCCCCGTGGCCCGTCCCAGGACTGTGATCTCACCCCTCCCCGTGGCCCGTCCCAGGACTGTGATCTCACCCCTCCCCGTGGCCCGTCCCAGGACTGTGATCTCACCCCTCCCCGTGGCCCGTCCCAGGACTGTGATCTCACCCCTCCCCGTGGCCCGTCCCAGGACTGTGATCTCACCCCTCCCCGTGGCCCGTCCCAGGACTGTGATCTCACCCCTCCCCGTGGCCCGTCCCAGGACTGTGATCTCACCCCTCCCCGTGGCCCGTCCCAGGACTGTGATCTCACCCCTCCCCGTGGCCCGTCCCAGGACTGTGATCTCACCCCTCCCCGTGGCCCGTCCCAGGACTGTGATCTCACCCCTCCCCGTGGCCCGTCCCAGGACTGTGATCTCACCCCTCCCCGTGGCCCGTCCCAGGACTGTGATCTCACCCCTCCCCGTGGCCCGTCCCAGGACTGTGATCTCACCCCTCCCCGTGGCCCGTCCCAGGACTGTGATCTCACCCCTCCCCGTGGCCCGTCCCAGGACTGTGATCTCACCCCTCCCCGTGGCCCGTCCCAGGACTGTGATCTCACCCCTCCCCGTGGCCCGTCCCAGGACTGTGATCTCACCCCTCCCCGTGGCCCGTCCCAGGACTGTGATCTCACCCCTCCCCGTGGCCCGTCCCAGGACTGTGATCTCACCCCTCCCCGTGGCCCGTCCCAGGACTGTGATCTCACCCCTCCCCGTGGCCCGTCCCAGGACTGTGATCTCACCCCTCCCCGTGGCCCGTCCCAGGACTGTGATCTCACCCCTCCCCGTGGCCCGTCCCAGGACTGTGATCTCACCCCTCCCCGTGGCCCGTCCCAGGACTGTGATCTCACCCCTCCCCGTGGCCCGTCCCAGGACTGTGATCTCACCCCTCCCCGTGGCCCGTCCCAGGACTGTGATCTCACCCCTCCCCGTGGCCCGTCCCAGGACTGTGATCTCACCCCTCCCCGTGGCCCGTCCCAGGACTGTGATCTCACCCCTCCCCGTGGCCCGTCCCAGGACTGTGATCTCACCCCTCCCCGTGGCCCGTCCCAGGACTGTGATCTCACCCCTCCCCGTGGCCCGTCCCAGGACTGTGATCTCACCCCTCCCCGTGGCCCGTCCCAGGACTGTGATCTCACCCCTCCCCGTGGCCCGTCCCAGGACTGTGATCTCACCCCTCCCCGTGGCCCGTCCCAGGACTGTGATCTCACCCCTCCCCGTGGCCCGTCCCAGGACTGTGATCTCACCCCTCCCCGTGGCCCGTCCCAGGACTGTGATCTCACCCCTCCCCGTGGCCCGTCCCAGGACTGTGATCTCACCCCTCCCCGTGGCCCGTCCCAGGACTGTGATCTCACCCCTCCCCGTGGCCCGTCCCAGGACTGTGATCTCACCCCTCCCCGTGGCCCGTCCCAGGACTGTGATCTCACCCCTCCCCGTGGCCCGTCCCAGGACTGTGATCTCACCCCTCCCCGTGGCCCGTCCCAGGACTGTGATCTCACCCCTCCCCGTGGCCCGTCCCAGGACTGTGATCTCACCCCTCCCCGTGGCCCGTCCCAGGACTGTGATCTCACCCCTCCCCGTGGCCCGTCCCAGGACTGTGATCTCACCCCTCCCCGTGGCCCGTCCCAGGACTGTGATCTCACCCCTCCCCGTGGCCCGTCCCAGGACTGTGATCTCACCCCTCCCCGTGGCCCGTCCCAGGACTGTGATCTCACCCCTCCCCGTGGCCCGTCCCAGGACTGTGATCTCACCCCTCCCCGTGGCCCGTCCCAGGACCGTGAGCTCACTGCTCTCCTGTGGGTTCGTATTCAGCAGTCTGCTTGTTGGCCAGGCAGGCCTCTAATGGCATGTGGGTTTGTGATTTGCCCTGTGCAGACTGACTGTTATCAGAGCACCCTCGAGCTAACTGCTCGCTTGGCTAAATGTGTCTGAATCCCTGGCAAAAACTCACATGTTGGGCTCTGGCGCGGAATGGACCGCGTACCCTC